ATTTATCGAAACTACAAGAGATTACCATATCCTACAGCTAGTACGCTATGATTACTACCAAGGATGACACTCATCACCCGGCGAAGAACACGCGCGTGATGCTTCTTCCATTCTAGCAGTTATGTGGTCCCCCATGAGCCCACATGCATTGTGCGTACACATCCCAGCATACCCACTGCATACCCAACGGGCACCACAGCGACAGCCATCGTGTCAAAAGCCTGCAGCCTACTCCAGAGCCAATCTTGTAAAGGTTTCGGGAAGTCTGCATTGCATGAAACCTTGCACAAATACTTTGGAATCCCTACCAAGGCATGTGTTCAGCATGTCTGAAGTGCGGAGGCTCTCTGATCTTCGGCTCCCGACCTGCCGCGCGCCAGCAAGCGGGATAAAGATGACGACCCGTGGCTGTGGACGGAGGGTTTATGCAGGAAGCATGTGTTAGATTTTCTTCAGTGAGTCAAGAATGCCGCTTCGTTCCAGGAGAAAGCATGTTTCCGGTCGATCCGTTAAGCATGGCACCTTTCTGGCCAGCGAGCAGCAAGAGCTTGCAGTGGCCGGGTATACATAGGCTCGAACGCAAGTTGTATTGCAAATGGAATCAGTTGCGTACAACCTGCACACGAGCGCTTGTGCAGTGCCAGACTGCAAGCATACTCTGTCAACACAGGTCGCCCAGGCCAAAAAGCATTCTTATTACTATCACTGTGAATCTTATTACTATTAAAATTACCATTGTTATTACTGTTGTTCATATAATATGATTTTTACACGCCTGGTGGGGTGAACAAAGCTACGGTTGAAAGGATGTTCGGACACTGGAGCGATCATGATATGACTACACCGTAATCCCAATCTGGGGGTTGGGGCTATCAAAGTCCTGTTGCTGGCAACAGAACCCTGGCAGCAACAATCTTGGCAGCACCACTCCCTGGACAATCGACCTGGAAGACCCGCGTGGTGACAGCCCTGCGAAAAACACCCGCGGTAACAGCTACCCTCAAAGCCCGCGTGCCAACAACCAGTAAAAACACCCTAGAAACAACCCCCATGGCAACAGCACTCTGGCATCAACAAATGGAAGGCACGTATTATGTCGACAGATGCCGACAGCCGGTCCAGCTCATGCAGCTGCTCAAGCAGTTTCTCTCGCTGCTACGCGGACAAGCACCTCGACCCGGACAGCACCCTGTTTGGGCAGACAACTCCCTGCACAGCACTCTTACGACGGCACCCTGGCAACAGCCCTCGGACAACACCCTGCTCTTGGCCCGCGTGCCGACAGCTCCCTGCAGTAGCAGCGGCACGCTGGCGACAACACCTTGCGCTTAATTCACGTGCCGATAGCTCCCTGCCTAGAACCCCTGCGATAGCCTGGGAGCGGGTCTCGTGTGCGCATCCCAGCAATCCAGCAATCGCACCACAGCACCCGGATAGCACGCGGCCCTGCAGTTGCTGCGTAACACCCTGGCAATAACACCCTCCTGCTCTTGGCCCCGGCAACAGCTCCCTGGCAAGAACGCCCCGGTAGCACTGCCTGGACAACACCCTGCTCTTGGCCGCCATGCCAACGGTCCCTACGCAGTCTCATTGCGACAGCATCCGGCAACAATAATCTGGCAACCGCGCCACAACACGCGAATATGGTAAGTTGATAACAGATTATCTATATTCAAGGTTTGGCCACTTATTCTTCAATCGATCTTTGATTTCCCAAAATCCAAGGAAATTTGGAAAATCATTTCTTGGATTATTTTACGAAATTATCCGAAATATCTCGTAAACTACGATTTTTGAAATATCTCGGACATTTTAAAAGAATATCTCGATCGCTTTCTATATTCAAAAAATCCGCGCGATTTGGATATGATGAATCTTTGATATTTGGGAGTACGATTTCAATATCGAAGATTAATGGGATTTAATTTCTTGGAGATACGATAATAAGACGAATATTATTCGATATATTAAATTTCATAAAAATGATGGCTCTCGATTACTACGAATACGATGATTTTAAAAAAATCGTAGAATTCAATTATTAGGATCTCTTGAAAATCGAGATTCAGTTTTCAATTTTATATGATATTTTAGATTCTTTTTATGAATGATAGAAATAGAAAGGATTATAATATTAATTTTTTTTAAAGAAAAAATATGCGGATGAAAAAAATGATGTATAAATAGATATAGATTATTTTATAATGAAAAAATTGAAAAATACATTAGAAAAAATACGATATATTAGAAATATTTTCGAATATATTACTTATGTATAGATAATGATTTTTTTCTTGAATATTAATCAATTTCAAAAAATCTACGGCATTTTATTGAGATCTATATATTTATCTATTATAATCTAATCTTCTCTCATGAGATTAGACGTCCGAATTATTGAATATACTACATCTAAAATTGAATATATCGAATATATATTCGAGATTGATTATACGCCTTTGAACTATCTAGATTACGGATTGAATATTTGGCGTTGAATTCAATTATATTCATATAACTTATCTCTTCGTTCTATATATGTTGATATATCTAATCTCATCTTATTAGGATATAAAATATCAAAATTTAATAATCTAGAACTAATTATCCCTCATCTTCTTCAAAGGGAAGAATTTTATTTCTGAAGAGGAGAATTTATGGATTAAAATTGGGACGGAAATTCGGATGAATATTCTAGTTTATATTATTTTTCAATGATCCATATCAGCAGAAGATCCGATAAATAGAGATTTGTCGGAGAATTATAAGACCTATATTATTCCGATAATTGTAATTCCTTTTTGATTAATTTGAATTAGAATCTTGCATATAGATCTATTAATAAATATCAGGAATTTTTTGATATAGGGCTGAATAGGAGGACCTTCTAATTTTTGATTATAATCTTGATTTGAATATTGAATTAATGGGATTCTATTGATTTGATAATGAATTGGTAGATTCTTCAAGAAGATTTTTCATATTAGGAATTAATAAGGTTCGAAATAATAAGAGAAATCTCTATTCAAATCTTTCAATTTGATTTTATTGATCATCTATTCTTATTTAAATGATTCTAATATGAAATCCTTATTCATAAAGAAGGAATTTCAATTCTATCATCTATCTTTCTTCATAGATCAAAATAGATCTTATAATTGATTCGATAATCAAATTTGATATATTGGGAAATTATATCAATCTTGAATCTATTTATATAATTGATAAGAATATGAAGATTTTCTAATCTGAATAAAATAGAATATTGGATCCAATAATTCTTCTGCAGAATCGATTCCTAATGATGATTTGATTAGATTTGATTTAATAATCTTGATCAGATGAGGATGAAAATTTAAAATTCTCTCCATAATCTGCCCTATAAAGATTTATTCATTTCATCATTCATTAGATAAATTGATTTGATCATCAATCTCTTCTAAAGATAAATCTTTAAGATCTTCTATTGCTCCAATATTCAGAATTCGATGAGATGAGATCTCTGGAATATCTTCAAATAGATCATAGTCTATCTCAAATTTCATATTTGAGGATTCGGCAATAATAAAATGGGGAGAATAATATGATTTTTGATTATTATATCTGGTTTTATAATAGATTTATCTCCCTTTTGATCAATTCTCTTAATTTTGATTATAAATCGTATGATTGGGAATATGAGGATAATTCTAAGGATCGATCTTTCTTCAATAGAGATATTCTGAGATTTCTTTGGATGAATAGGCGGAGATATGAGAGATTATTTGAATTCATTCGATAGATTCGTATCTTTCAAGATCGATTTATCTATAATAGATTTGATAATACCGGATTTGATAGCCTTTTTTCTTGGATTTGAAGACGAGATTTCCTCAATTTCGATAAGAAGAAATTCAATTATTTCTCCTTGATTAGCAGATATAGGAGAATATTTATAGATTTGGGATTTTCAGATTTCCGAATCCGATCTTTATCTTCCCATTCATTTTCAAGAAGATCAAAAGATCAATTTATCAATTTTACGATCGTCTTCCGTAAAATATCTATTTTTTCCGTCAATCTTATCTTTTTTTCTCTATATTCATTATGAGATTCTTATTATTTGATAGAATATCGATCATCATATATATCATCTTCTCATTTGAGATATCTTCATCAAATCGTCGTCCTATATTGATTTTCGATCAAGAAAGGAGGGGATTTCGCCTTTCTTATAATCTTGCTAGAAGGGTCCGTCCCCGAAACGGTCGCGTCTCTGATTTTTGAAAATTGCGCTCCCGTGCGGGATATCTTCAAAATTTTTCTGAATAATGATATCGAAGAGATCTATATCAATTCTATATCAAATGAATCCCGGAATATTTCGATCTCGAGAGATGGTTTTCAGGGCGATACGGAGAAGAAATTTCGATATAATTCTGATATAGGATTCCTCTATATAATCATTCAAAATCTGAATGAATATTTAGATAAATCTTCTCTAATTCCATATCAAATGATCCGCTGAAATTCGTCTTCTTCTTCCAATTGTTGAAGAAAATTGGATTCCTATATAGAAAATATTCAACAATCTTTCGTTCAAAATCGCTTTCTCGTACAATATATATTGAGAATTTTGAAGAAAATTCTATTCTCATATTGAATGAATATTGCGCTTCTATGCGGAACATTCTGAAAATTTTGAAGAAAATTATATTCTTATAGAGAGCATCTTGAAAATTTGATGAATATTATATTTCCGTATAGAATAATCTCAAATTTTAATCATTTCTTCATGAAAAATAGGGTTCTCATCCAAGAAATCGCGTTTTCGTGCGGCATCTTTGAAATATATTATAATTGCGTTCTCGTGGGAAAGATCTACGAAATTCGAAAGATTTTTCATTCTATATATAGGAATATATATTTATATATATACGTATATTGCAGAGCATCTTCAGAAATGAATCGAATTTTCAATGGGAATTATATTTTCGTATGATGGCAATTTTCCTATATATCTTTCAGGAATATTTTCTGATCTGCATATACGATCTCCTAATAGATATCTATTAGAATCTATCAGACGATCTAATAAAAGATATTCAAAAATGAAAATTTCGATTTTCGGAAATTTTCTTTGATCTGCGTATATGATTTCTTAATAGATATCTATTAGAATCTATTAGGCGATTTTGAAAAATATATATTCAAAAATAAAAATTCGATCTTCGGAAATATCTTTTAATCTTCAGAATGGCCGTGGTACGTTGGAGATTCATTAGGGGCAGGAGTATATTAGGGATATATTAGGGAGACGCTAGCGATATATTAGGAAAATATAGGAGAATATGAAGGCGGGGGCGCTAGCAGGGAGAAAGGAGAGAATACGATAAATATATTA